ACAGGTATGCCTTTTGATAAGAGTCGTTCAATTATGCATTTTACCGAGCATGAGATTGTTGATAAAGCAAATGACTTAGGGGTTACTTTGGGTTCAACTGATATAGAGATAGCGAAGTCTGTTAATGACATGTTAGATTTAGAAGCCGAGAGGGCTTCTAAAATAATTCAGAACCTTGCATCAGTTAAACCAATGAATAACGATGACATGAATAATCTAGGAATTGTAGCCCTGGGAAGCTTTTGTAATAATCTCTTACCTAATGAGGAGGCCGACGATGAGGAGGGGTCTGAGAATATGGACATTGTAGAGCCCATGAGGGAGGGCGTTGTCTAGTATTATGTCGACCCTACGTTTCCGGAGGGTGCTGAGGAGAAGCCTAAGCGGCCCTGGAAACGGAAGATTTATCCTACTTCGGCGGTGCGTAGAAGTGCTAGGGTCAAGCTTAAAAAGAAATTCCACGATGATTTATGAAAGGAATCTTTTGGAATAGCAGAGGTCTAGTTGACTTGGCTAAACGAGGCTCTTGGCTGAGACAAAGGTAGAGCAAAATTTAGACTTTATTGCGCTTTTCGAAACAAGACGAGATAACTTGACCTCACAGTTCCTTGGAACTCTTTCCGGTGGAATTGATTTTGATTGGCATGTCTTACCTCCTAGAGGAAGATCTGGTGGGATCTTGCTAGGGGTTCGGTGTGCAACACTCGAGGTGCTTAATGTGGTCAGGGGAGACTTTACGGTCAAATTTCGGGTGAGATCCAAATTGGATGGATTCCGATGGTCTCTTGTGGTTGTATATGGAGCAGCACAACCCGAATTCAAACCAGATTTTTTAGCTGAGGTGGTATGGATTTGTGGCGATGAATCCTTGCCAATCCTAGTCGGTGGGGACTTTAACATTATTCGGAGGAGAGAGGAAAAACCAATGATAATTTTGATGGACGATGGTCTATGATGTTCAACATGATTATCGAGAGTCTTCATTTGAGAGAAATTGAGCTCACCGGTAGACAATTTACTTGGGCCAATTCGTTGCCCATTCCGACTTATGAGAAGTTGGATAGGGTACTCGCCAGTGTCGAATGGGAACAAAAGTACCCTTTAGTATCGGTTCATGCGATGCATAGAGGGATCTCCAATCATACACCTCTTCTTGTAGACTCGGGAGAGGCTACCCATGTCACCAAAAAGAACGCTTTATCTTTCGAACTAGGTTGGTTCGAGAAAGAAAACTTTCTGGAGATCATTGCACATGAATGGGCGAAACCTGTTAGCGGTAGAACTAGCATAGAGAGGTGGCAAAATAAGATCAGACATATGAGATAGTTTTTGCGAGGTTAGGCCAGAAATGAGAGTGGGATATACAAGGAAGAGAAAGAACGCCTTACTCATTTAATTGATACTTTAGATTTAAAAGCTGAAAGTAATCCCCTTACGATTACTGAGCAACACTCCAAGTCCGAAGCTGAGCAAGGCTTACGCTCTCTTCTTAGAGAAGAAGAGCTCAAGTGGGTACTGCGCGCTAAAGTGCTTAAGGTTGTCCAAGGGGACGATAATACACAATTCTTCCATATGGTTGTGAATGGTAAACATAGGAAGAAGAAAATCATACAGCTCAAACAGGACGAGGGGACAATTATAGGGCATGCGAATCTGAAAGCATATATCTCTAATTACTATAAGCAACTTTTGGGGCATCCGGAAGCAAGCACGGTGGCCCTAGATGAATCTGTTTTTGGAGATATACCTCAACTTTAGGTAGAGAAGAATGATATTCTATCTGCACCATTTACTGAGAAGGAGGTTTTGAATGCCATCTCACAAATGAAACTGAATAAAGCACCGGGACCAGATGGGTTTCCAGCTGAATTCTATAAGAAATGTTGGCATATTATTAAGAATGATCTTATGCCTATGTTTCATGACTTCTTTAGTGGCCATCTCGAGCTGTTTCATCTTAATTTTGGCCTAATTACGTAGTTACCCAAAAAAGAAGAAGCAGTTCGGATTGAACAATTTAGGCCAATATGCCTTCTTAATGTGAGTTTCAAAATCTTCACAAAGGTTGGTACCAATAGATTGACTCAAATTGCCCATTCAGTGGTACAACGGAGTCAGACGACGTTCATGCCAAGGATGACACATACTTGAAGGGGTTGTTGTGCTACATGAAACGCTTCATGAAATCCATTCGAAGAAGCTAGATGGGGTTATCTTCAAAGTGGATTTTGAGAAGGCATATGATAAAGTTAAATGGCCTTTCCTTCAGCAGGCAATGCGCATGAAAGGATTTAGTGAGGCTTGGCGGAACCAAGTGGGTTCTCAAGTCCAGAATGGTAGTGTCGGAATCAAGATTAATGATGATATCGGCCATTACTTCCAGACACATAAGGGTTTGAGACAAGGAGATTCTATGTCTCCTCTCTTATTTAATATAGTGGTCGATATGTTGGCCATTCTTATTGGCAGAGCCAAACAGCATGGTCAGGTGGAGGATTTAGTTCCTCATTTGGTCGATGGAGGAGTCTCTATCTTGCAGTACGCTGACGACACCGTCTTATTCATGGAACATGACATTGCTAAAACGCGCAATATGAAACTTATATTGTGCCTTTTCGAACAATTGTCTGAATTAAAGATAAACTTTCACAAAAGTGAGTTGTTCTGCTTTGGGAAGGCCAAAGACGAGCAAGACACATATAGACAATTGTTCGGGTGTGAATTAGGGTCGTTACCATTTAGTTATTTGGTCATACCAATTCACCACCGTAAGTTGTCTAATAAAGAATGGAAGTGTATCGAAGATCGAATTGAGAAAAAAGCTGAGCTGCTGGAAGGGTAAGCTTATGTCTTATGGAGGTCGGCTAATGCTGATTAATTCGGTATTGACCAGTATGCCGATGTTCCTACTCTCTTTCTTCGAAATCCCTAAAGGGGTACGAAAGCGACTTGATTTCTTCATATCTCGTTTCTTCTGGCAGTCAGATGAGGCCAAAAGGAAATACCGACTGGCGCGATGGGATATCCTTTGCCGGCCAAAAGACCAGGGAGGGCTTGGTATTGAGAACTTAGAAATCAAGAATAAATGCCTCATGAGCAAGTGGCTCTACAGGTTGGGGACAGAGCCAGAGGGCATATGGGCACAACTTTTGCGTAATAAATACTTGCAGTCGAAAACGCTCGCCTAGGTTACCATGAGACCAACTGACTCGCCATTCTAGAAAGGGCTTATGAGAGTGAAGGATTTATTCTTTCGTAGGGTCAAATTCTTGGTTGGCAATGGGATATCAACAAGATTTTGGGAGGATACATGGTTATGAGCAACACCCCTGGCCGTTCAGTATCCCACCCTTTATAATATTGTACAACGCAAGGAGGATTACGTAGGTACCGTGTTCCAAACAATCCCCTTGAATATCCAGTTCAGGCGTGCGTTAGTTGGTCAGAGATGGACTGCTTGGTTGCACTTGGTTCGAAGATTGATAGATGTTCGACTCTCAGACCAGTCGGATTCGATGCAATGGACATTAGCTAAAAATGGAGGTTTCACGGTGAAATCGTTTTATATAGATTTGATTAATTCTGCCCAATCTCGCGATCATTGCATATTTGGAAGATTAAGGTTCCCTTGCGAATTAAAATTTTTATGTGGTTTGTCCAGAAGCAAGTTATACTCACTAAGGACAACTTAATCAAGAGGCAATGGGTAGTTCACGCTTGTTCTTTTTGTGATCATGATGAAACAATACAACACATATTCCTTGAATGCTCCCTCGCTAAATTGCTTTGGAGAACTATTCATATTGCCTTCAATGTCACTCCTCCAGCTAACATAGAATCGTTGTTTGGAACGTGGTTAACTGGGGTTGAACAGGATACTGTTGCTCGTATTCGGATTGGAATATGTGCGCTTTTGTGGGCTATCTAGAACTGTAGGAATGATTTGATTTTTAACAGACAACACACTTTAACTTTCTTGCAGGTTATCTTCAGAGCTACCGCTTGGATCCGTATGTGGTCCTTACTCACTCCTGCGGACTCCAGGGAGCCTTTGGGTACTGGGTGCAACCAATGGGAGATGGTAGCACGGGGTATATTCAACCGGTTCGGATGGCGGTCGCATAACAGGATAGGAGTCTAGGGAGCTTATCCTCTTTTTTGCCTTACCGGTTGTACTTATTTATTTATTTTTGCTTTTGCTCCGCTTGCGAGCTGTAATACCTTCATGACTTTGGGATACTTCGAGACTTTTTAATAAGATGGATGCATGCATCATTATTATGAAGAGGCCGAGGGCACGCCTCCATTTCCAAAAAAAATATTAGTGTGCCCGTCAGTTTTATGGTTGGAATACAGTCTCCCTGCATAAAAGCAGATCCAAACAGCCAAGCCAAATGTTCAAAAGGTCTATGTATGTAACTAAATCAAACACATGCTACTCTCCCAAGCACGATCTGGTTCACAAGAATTAGATACAAATTATTTAAATAAACAAATGGGAAACACATGCTACTCTCCCAAGCAAAACCAGAAACCTGACTCAATGACCGGAGGCCAAGTTCACATATGCTCCAGATATGATTCACCCCAATTTTTTGCAACCAAAATGGAAGTGCGTGATTAATTTAGCATTAGGTACAAGCACACATTTAACAAGGGACAATCCTAACTTGGGTTTTAGAGGCAAGAAAAAGTCAAAAATTGAACATGTGCGCATGACTAATTTAGTAGCAGGTACAACGTACAACCACATACTTAACAGGGGACGGTCCTAACCTAGGTTTCAGAGGGAAATGGTTGAAGAACAAACAAGTCGCCCTTCCTCCTTGTTCGATTCATCACTCCCCCACTTAAAAAAACAGATTGACATAGTTCAATAATAAGAATAGTAGCACATTGTTTCATAAGATTTTATATGACAGAAATTTAGACGGGCTAAACTAAAAAAAAGCTAGAGCTGTGTAGGCATGGAAGAAGAAGAAACCGAGCGGAGTAGGATATCACCAGGAGCTTAGGCGTTTGGGGCGAGAGACTACCCGCTCACCAGATATGAGCAGGTACTCTAGATCTTTGTCTGATGCAGTTGTTTGCTACGTATTCAAGAAGAAACTTATTAATATGTTTGTATTGCATGACTTCTCCTAGAGAATAGCTGCACAAATGCAATTCTGAAGTCCAAAGTAACTAAGGTCTGAGTCATCGACACCTACCAAGGTTCTGAATTTCTGTAAGCAATACTTCCACTTTGGATTAGAACCATCAGTTTTAGTACTTTAGTAGTTAGTTTTATTTATCTAAATATGCAGGAATGTAGTCATCAGTTTTAGTACTTTAGAGAGTATGAGCTTCTGTAATTCATGGTGAAAATTCATCTCTATGGTGACACAGTGTGCATCAGTTCAACTGATTTAGTTACCTTGTCCATATTGGGCACGAGGTCTTGCAGCCTCCTTAGCTTCTTGCTATTACTAGCTCTTCTTTCCTAAACATCATAAGCAAGAAAAATATTCAGTACAAACATGTGGCACCAAGACAAACACCAAAAATATTGCAGGAAACTAACTAACCCTCTAAGCGATGCTTCGTGGGTAAGTGGCGCAGCCATGCTTGGTGCAGACTGTGCAGGCGATGAAGTCCTGATGCAGGTGCAGATAGTCGTCCATGCCGGGCATGTCCAAATACGTGGTCGACATGCCAAACTAAATTTGGTCCAAAGTGTTAGTAGAAGTGTAGCATTAAACAATTGATGGGAAGCAGAGTGCGGATGGATGTGAAGTGTATACATGTGAAGCTTATCCTACTTGGGATTCGATTTTGCTGAGGTTGGTGATCATGCCACCATCGCTGTCAATGAGCACCTTGTCCATCTTGCTTCCGGGTGTGGAGAACATGATATTGGAGTTGGTGTCGTCCGAGGATCTCATGGAGAAGCTCCTAGAGAGGTCGTTGGAGCCGTTGTCGACCGTGATGCTCTCACCGACGTCGGCCGACAGCATTGGCGCGGGCATGGCCATCCCCATCTCCATGTGGCATAATGTCATGCTGCCTCGAGTAGCTCCACACCTACATATTAATTGAGAGATCTCCACGTCAGTGAATTCTGAACTTGTCTAGAAAGCTAACAGTATTGGGGGATCAAAGAAATAACAGAAAGTAATATACTTTGTAGTCACATAAGCCATACCATGAAAGGACATGAGTAGCACCTGGCTTTGTTGAATTGGAAGAAATCATGTTAAAGTATGTATTCCCTTTAAACTAGCAGTCTCTCTTCACCTTATTAGAAGAGAGTAAATTCCTTTCCCCTCCTATGTGACATCTCAAACTTGACATCCTTACTGCCATAAAATTTATCCTCTAAATCCCCATCCCACCAGACAAGCTGCACACACACACACAAAATTAAAATCTCTTTATACTCATTGGGGTCGTAATCAAACATTGTAAATACATATAAACAAAAAGAATATGCAAACCTAAGAAAATTGTGCAAGAAAATTCAGAGAACTATAGGGGGAAACACGAACCTGGGATGGTGCTCGACCAGGATGGGCTCTTGCGCCGTCACATGAGTAGTACCTGACTTTCTCGTTCCCCAATGTCGTCCTCCTGCTGTGGCCGTGGGGGCGGTGCCGATGTGTGTGCTAAAGAAGGTCACGACCCTATGGTGGTCATCTCTCAGGGTCATTCTCCTTCTAATATGGGCACGACGGAGGAGGTGAAACCCAATTTCAAGACTCCACCAAGCTAGGCGTGTTGTTGTTATTTTTAATAATTATATTTTTAATAATTGTGAGTTTTGGCCTGGTTTTGGGCCTGTCCAACCAAGTCAGGTCGAGGCCCATTAGGCTGGGCACCTCACCCCTCCATATAAGGAGCTGGGGCGCATTAGGTTGGGGGTGGAGAATTTTAGTCGAAAACTATCGAGTTGTGTTTCCTCGGTGAAGCATCCCTCTGGGGACGGCGATGCCGTTTATCTAATAAAGATTGCTGCGGAGGTTCTTGTGTTTAGCAAGGATTATCGTGCTTTGGTTTGAGGCGTGGTGATCTTCATCACGTTGCTTGCTGGATTTGTTTCCTCGTCTTCAGGTTACGTGGATTACTCCCGTGATTAGAAGTTTTTCTATTTTATTGTCTTGCGGTGAAATATCAGGCAAAAACTATAGGATCATCACATTGATCCTTATTATGTGGGATCAGATTACTAGGTTTCTCACCGCGAGTTCATCCTGTTGAGATTGCATCATTGCCGCCAGTCTGTTCTGCGGAGAGTTCTCGTGGATCACGGTGCAATTTGCTGTTCGGCGAGGAGCTTAGTGGCGGCAAATTCGCGAGGGCCGAGCACGCTTGGATCTGTGTCTCGGCGGAGAGTTCGTCTTCCAGTCGGATCAAACTAAGGGCGTCGGTGCTATCAATTTTCCTTGTGATCTCAGCGAGGTTTGGTCGCTCAGATAGGAAGGACACGTTGTTTTCGGCTGACTCCGGATTTTCAGGAAGCAGAGCGATTTGGTTGGTACGTGATGGAGTACTAGTTTGTTTTGGTGTTCTGTGATCAGCTTGCTGGATTTTTAAATTAGTTAAATCCTAATTAGTTAAGGTAGGAGAGAGAAGATTCTCTTGTTTCCGTCTGTTTGGAAACCAACTTACGGTAGAGTCGAGCTCGTGGTAAAAAAATTGCGATTTTATTATCTGTTCGCCGGATCGGGAAGATGGCTTCCACATGGTTTTCTCGGTTGGATGAGAATTCTAAGGAACGTGCTCGGGCTGAGATAGCTGATATACAAAAGATCATTAAAGAGATGCGGGCGGAATTAAAAAAGCCCATTACAGTTTTTCCCGCGCATATTGTGCAGCATTCTGCGAAGGTAATTTCCAAGGACACATCCATGGTGAAGATAGATGATGTTAACGACGACAACGAGGCAAAGACAACACGTACTGGTTCTAAGGAGGACAAGGCTGATGTTGACATGATTTTGGTGGACGATGTTGTACCATTGAGCGGGTTGAATATGCAACTCAAGAGGGTACATGATGAAGCTTGCAAAACAGTTGACAAGGGTCAGTGGTGGAGTTTATTTCAGACTCAGTGTATGATTAAAGGCAAAGCATGCAAGTTGATGATTGATGGTGGTAGCTGTACTAATGGCATAAGCAAGGCAATGGTGGCATCATTGGGGTTGTCCACATGGCGTATTCCCGAACCTAAGCATCTTGAGTGGTTGAATAGTTGTGGTATGTTGAAGGTTACTCATAAAGTGCGTGTGCCATTTACAGTTGGTGACTATGTTGATGTGGTAGAATGTGATGTGTTGTCACTGGAGATGTGTGGGCTGTTACTTGGACGTCCATGACAGTATGATCGCAATGTTACACATGCTGGGAGAGCAAATGCATATTCTTTTGTGCATGATGGCAAACAACAGACTTGGAAGCCTATGAAGGATGATCAAATAAAGTCTAATGTGGAGCTGGTGGTACACAAGGAGAGGTTGCGCAAGGCTAAGCCGCCAGGGTTAGCTAAGCTGCAGCATGAGGAGCATGATGCACAAAGCGACATTATTGATATTGCTTCACCTATACCTGTAGATGACAAGCATGTTGTTCTTGTTAGTGACAAGCCAGTTGAAGTGCAGCCTCTTTCTGATGAGAGGAAGGATGTTGCAGCATGTGTTACAATTCCAGTTTGTGTTGACACAGGTGTTCAGACTGATGATATTTGTGTTGATCATATCCCAGTGCATGAGGTGCTTCGGAGCGACAAGCGCAGTTTTGTTAGCACACTTGCGAGGCGTTTTGTTGGAGCAGCAGTGCGGAAGCACAAAGGCAAGGATGGACATGTTCGTCAGTTGTGTGGCCCAGGCATTACTCATCTTTTGCAGGGTAGTGCAAAGCAGGTTCATGTTCAGAAACAAAGGGCTCCAGCAAAGGTGGACAAGAAGAAGGTGGTGGCGCTTATGCCCAGGCGTGTGTGGAGAAGAAAGGCACCCATAGCTGAACCAAGTCGAGCAGACCAAGAGGGAGGATTTGGAGTGGTAGGCAGGCGAGACTTGAAGATGGCGAAGACGCGTGATGCTTTTGTTGATATCACGCCACCCTTTCCAGTAGACCCTCACATGTTGAGGACAACGCTTTTTGAAGGGGGGAAGATGATATGGGCACGACGGAGGAGGTGAAGCCCAATTTCAGGACTCCGCCAAGCTAGGCGTGTCATTGTTATTTTTAATAATTAGATTTTTAATAATTGTGAGTTTTGGCCTGGTTTTGGGTCTGTCCAACCAAGTCAGGTCGAGGCCCATTAGACTGGGTGCCTCACCCCTCCATATAAGGAGTTGGGGCGCATTAGGTTTAGGGGGTGGAGAATTTTAGTCGAAAACTATCGAGTTGTGTTTCCTTGGTGAAGCATCCCTCTGGGGACGGCGATGTCGTTTATCTAATAAAGATTGCTGCGAAGGTTCTTGTGTTCAGCAAGGATTATCGTGCTTTGGTTTGAGGCATGGTGATCTTCATCACGTTGCTTGCTGGATTTGTTTCCTCATCTTCAGGTTACGCGGATTACTCCCGTGATTAGAAGTTTTCCTATTTTATTGTCTTGCGGTGAAAGATCGGGCAAAAACTATAGGATCATCACGTTGATCCTTATTACCTTCTCCCATATTTGCTTGCTTGCCCCCTGCCTGCTCCACCAAGCGGACAAACTCAAGCCTATGGGGAACAAGAAAAACGATGAATAGATCGATTTAACTGGTAGCAAACGAACTAATTTTCTTGGTGGTGAGGGCTCACGAATTGGGGAGGATAAAAGCACCTGCTCCACGGTGGCTCCCAGATGACGCAGTGCTCACGGTAGCCCGTGCTCTAGCTCACCTCCTTGTCGAGCCTGTCACTGCCGCTGGTTTTCCCCGCGCCACCTCCTCTTCCTCTTTTCTGGTCTCCCCCGTGCCACCTCCTCTTCCTTTTTTCCTCCAGCGGCGGCGCAGTCCCCCCATGACTTCTTGGTGGTGAGCGCTCACGATTGGGGAGGAGAAGAGGAGCCCGTGGCTTCTTGGTGGTGAGGGCTCACGGATTGGGAAGGAGAAGAGGAGGCGGCGGACTGGGAGGGGGAGGAGAGGAGGCGGCGGACTGGGAGGAGGAGGAGAGGAGGCGGTGGATTGGGGAGGAGGAGATGAGGCGGGGATTGGGGGTGAGAGGAGGTTGTCGATAGGATAGGGTTTTCACCGTGTTTGCCTGTACGTGAAATTACTAAAATGCCCTTGGCAGGCCACCAAATTTATAGCGATGATAGCAGCACTGTTCATAGAGATTTAGGGACGACGTGGCTGGCTTCGTCTGGCCTAGCACTTCTTGAACGTTTATATGTTCAATGGCATCAGAGGAAACGGACAGAACACGCATGAGTCTCGCTCGACCTCATGACATGCGCGCCACGGCAGTCTAGGGTTTGGCCGCTGCCGCCCCTGCCTCTAC